GATAGGTCAAGATCATTTTTTGTGTAATCTTCTGCCCCCTGTTATCAGGTATATCTGATTGAGCAAAGTTTTTACCATTAAATTATGCAAAAGGTGTCAGACGCAAAACATTTCAGAAACCTTATGTATCAAATATGATACGTTTGGCATTATAGGGTTAAAAAGTCTTATGGCCCTTAGAAATAAATTGGATATGTCTCTTTACGGAAATCCATAAATGTGCCAGTACAGTTACACCAGCAGGAAATGGCTAGCCCTGACTAACAACTCCTCACAGCACATTATAACTTACATAGCTGTGTAGTTTCACCTGGCAAGTCATCAGGGTTGATTTTTTCTACTTTCAACATGAAATAGGAGCTGTCTGACCTTGCCTTTTTGAGCTGAAATCCTGAGAAATGGCATTGATTGGTTCATTTGCTCAACAATTTGTGCTGTGAGACTTCTACATGTTATATATATGCATAAAATACATTTATAACATGCATGTTTTTGGACGGTAGGAGGAAGTCAGTATACCTGGAGAGGATCCACGCAAATGTAATTATTTGACTTTTTTTTGTCAATAATGTCAAAGTTCAGGAAAGCCATGGTGGAAGCAAATTCTTGCAACCCTCTATATGTCGCTTGCAGAAATCTTTATATTGGAGGACAACCGATAAACATAACCATGGTGAAGCCGTTCTAAATATCCACAGATTCCACAAATAGACATCCTGTGAGTTCCTGGGAAATGCTTGCTAAATACATGATGATGGCTGGAGCAATGCCACTCACTCCAGTAAAACTACTTTATGAGAAAAACATCAGTACCACTTCCTTCATTCTTACGCTGTAAAGACTGAGATTAGTATCAATTTGATTTAATCATTCTTGACTCAAAGATTTTTATGGGTCTTCTTTTGTTTAATCCCAGTGGGGAATTTTTGTACATGTGGTCACTTTGTGGAACTTAATTTGGATAGAAATAGCTAAAAAATGAAAAATAAAAAACAAGAGAGCACAGTTGTAACGGCTCACTTTGATTAAAACATATTTTCAAAGATAATGATAGTAATCATTTGTTGACTTGCTCTTTAGTCTTACTAAAGCCCATCCCCATGAAAAATATAAATGGAACCTCCTCTTTCAGGGCCACCGCTAGCATCTTTGTTTGATATGATTCAGCCAACCATATATCCGCTCATCTAAGAACAAATTTGTTTTACTGCAGCAATCTCCTCCCCTGGTGGCCTGTGTACCAGATAGGGAGCGGAGAAATGACAACAATGAACGTCTGTATACACGGAGAGCGCCCCTTGGCAACACACCAGTCCTTACCCCTCTCCTCATCCTCCAGATGGTGTCCGTCATAACTAAAGGAGATGTTCCCATGATCTAATCGGCCGACACGCAAACCTTCCACATCTCTGCAAAAGGGACGTTGCAATCGTCTGCCCGAGGTTATCATTCACAGGAGACTGACACTGGAGGGAGGAAAGGACGATAACGGCATCTTTAAACTTCAGCGTTCATGGAGTTCAAATCCACAAGAGCCCACCCAAGTAGGCCAAAAAAAATGGGGGCCAAAAGGCCAAGCAGTAGAGAACTGCTGATGGGTGTCTTGGAACACTATGGACCACAGTGCTGTCAAATCTGAACACATGAAAGCGCACATAAGGGAGTTTTTAAGGTACGAAAAACCCTTCATGCTGTTTGGGTATTGCTGTGGTCGGAAACTGTGCCATTCCGCAAGCAGCTCAGATTGACAGGGTACCATTACATCAGAGTACCACCAAAGAGCAGGGTAATCCTCGTGCTATATCTCTATCTGCACCCTGAATTCCAGGACATGCTGCAATCATTCCTCCTCAGGAGATGCAAGAGACAATCTTTACTTTTGCTTCTTGGATCTTCATTAAAGACAAATTTCCATCAGCAATTAAGAAGGTCACAAAAAGGTAAAAAGTACATATTTCTGTACCAAGTCTTAATTTCTCTGATTAGATTAGAATAGATCAAATATTCAACATTTACATTGTAGGTTACCATTCAACACAACTTTCAACACAACTTTTTCCTTTGATATTCTTGCTGGAAGTGAAGAATTTCTGAATTCCTATGTCAGATTTAATGTAACATTTAAAAAATGTGTGTAGAAACGAACTTTAAAACACCAATAAAACATGTATCATATAAGCAATATATTTTAATCGTTGGCCTCTAAAAACAAAAAAAACCTATTTCACAGATCATTCCGAAATCAGGATTTTTTTTAAATTGCTAGTCAACTAATTCTCTAACAGCACAGTATGTAAGAGTGGGATCTTGTTTTGTTGCCCATATGATTAAATAATCAAATTCAGGGTTTACTGTGTCTGATTTATTTTCAGTTTTACGTTTTGAATCAAGGTATAACAGTTCAGATGGTGCAATATTGTATTTCTGAGTTTGTGACAAGGGTCATGTGTTTTTTAATGTTGTGAGCTTGATATAGGGGAATTTACCGTTTTTCTTGGAGAAACCAAAAGACTAAGCTCCAGCCAGCCCACAACACTACCAATAATAACTGGTACAGAGTGTATGTGTTTAGGGCGTAAGTACTAGTAATCAGTGTGAATGAGCTAAAATATACTCAGACATCAATTTATTCCTTGTTTCCTTTCAGCTCAAAGCTTTTCGGTGGATTTTTACACTGCATTCCCTGAAGCAATCCGGTGAAGAAATCCCATATATTGTTTTATCTTGAACTCCTATGGAATTTCTCAGATTTGAGATGGGTATTTTCTACTCCTCTGATTTGCTTTATGCCAGGTTCACTCGGCAGAAAACATTTTGAATACAATTTTGTCAAAATGAGTTTAAGTAAAGCAAAACATTTCCACAACTCTTCCTGAAGTTCTCACAGTGAGCATTGAGGGCTATGTTAGAAATCACTGTTTGCAAAACGAAAAGTACAATAAGCTTGGTCTCAACTTTGAGTTGAACTCTACAGAGGTGCTCTACATTTGCCAGATGTTTGGCAGCAGTTTTAAGACTAGTGGACAACTTATCCAGAGGGAGACATCTCCCCTAGTCTTAGTCATATCTCACCACATTAATTACTCTGATTTCTATTTTAAACGTACCATAAAATATTAAGTTTTTGTGCCCCACAAGCCGAGAGTTGCAGCTACTCTGTGATGTACTAGCGCTGTCCATCTCCATCCATTAGGTGCATGGATTCATCTCAGTTAATATCAAACATGTTACCAAAATTGCAATGTTCATCAAAGCGAAGAAGAAATGTCTAACTAATTGTTTAAGCACCTTTATTCCACTACATTTTAGAGCTGGAATTATCAAAGAAAACCCATGGAAATTCCTTTTTCCCACCAGAAACCAAGGAAAGCCCTCATCATGGAAATGGAAGGAAGTCGCTATAGACTCAAGGGAATCCATTTCTGAGGGGGGAACAAGTAAGTGTTTGTTTTGGGCCAGCAGTCGGGTGTCTGGCTGATGGAGCACAGACAAAACACAAGGCAGTCTGTGTGTGATAGTGAAAGATTGTGAGAGGGAGATGGAAAAAGATTACTGTAGCGTTTGAAACCGAGACTGTGTGATGCTCAGAATGGAGATAAAGCACATCTTCATATTTCCACATTTTCAGTATTTTTTTCCCCACCTCCACTCCAAGAATGTTAAAAAGAAAAGAAGACCAACAAACTGCGAGTTTTCGGCTGTTGACATTTTTTAATGGTTTAAAAAGAAACGACCCTGGATATCAAAACGTACATTTACCCAATGAAAAATATTCCACAACAAATTCTATATCTCTACAAACACACACACACACACACATATATATATATACATATGTGTGTATGTATTCCATCCTTTTCTAAAGAAGATGTTGGAGGCACTTGGAACCATATACAGTCTTTTTTCATGCTACACAAAAGAATATTTCTTTGGTTTTTTTCCCCCTCAGCTGAAACCACAGACAGAACAAGAAAAAAGGTTGTCTGATTTATTTTCTACATTTCACTAATGTCCAAATACAAGCCTCTATCAGAAAAGAAACAACAAGCAAAGGCTTCCGTATTCTTCGTTGACGTTCATTTCAGTGGTGAAATGACAACAGCATAAAGAAACAATGGTAAGTGGCTCGAATTAGATCCCACCCAACCCCACATCAGCTATGTTTTCCATTTATCCTTCTTTTTTTTTTTTACAGCAGTAATAATCTATATAACTTAGTGGAATGGTTTTGGTATACAGTAAGATTTGGCAAAACAAAAAATACATGGGGCTTCAATCCACAACAGTCACGTTGAGTTAAACAAGTTATTTAACCTCACGTGTCCATCACAATCCAGGAACTGTGACTGTGTCCTGGCCCACTTTCTCAGGTTGTCCACTGGGAAAAAAAATCTGTTCTTCAGCAGCTGAATTCATAACAGATTTCAGAGGAGCCTTGCTGGCATTTTTTATTTTACATCAAACTGAGCACAACGTTGGCATCTGGTTTGCATGTTCTGAACTTAACCTGTACCTTCCTGTCTCCACTGTCCTGTTAAATATCAGCACGGCCACTCTCACATTAAAGCTTCTCTCTATTAACACAAGCAAAAAACGTAACAAAAACGTAAGCAATGGTGGGAATTTGGCTGCGCCGAACAACAAAGTCAAATGTAACACAACGAAAAGGGCAGCAATCATGTGAAACAATTTTTTTAAACTTTTTTTTTCTATCTAACTCTACTAAAACAATTTTGCTGTATACGTGTGACAATCAAATCAACAACAAAAGGAGTGGAACACAACTGATGCTAAATATACAATTAAATACGTTTGCAAATGAATTCCATATTGCAGAAGTCAGTTGGTCAAAAGTGGGCTTGACTAATAATGTTAACAGCCTCAAAAAAAGAGTCGTTTAAAAAATGCGGTGCTCAAAGCCCTATGGACACATATGTGGACGACAGGGCTTGCCGTTAACTTTGCACCGACAAACGGTCGAACCTCGGTATCTTCACAGCTCAGCTGCAGGGCAGCCACGTTTGGTAAGAGTTCCTACACACTGACATGGGGGACTGAACCTGTGCCACGTAGTAGTTGCTGAAGTTGACGTCTCTGACGTAAGGGGCGGGCTGGTAGTAGCAGGTGATGTTGGACAGGGCGGGGATGGCGTTCTGCTCGGCCATGACGCGAAGCGCCAGGGCGGAAATGAGCGCCAGCGTCTGCCGGCGCTCGTGGCCCATCAGGCACACGGTGCTTTCGTCCACCACGCGCCTCAGCGTGACCAGGTACTCGTAGCGCTTGTGCTCCATGCCCGCGAAGTGGTTCTGCAGATACGCCCCCAGCTTCCTCTGCTGCTCGCCGATGTCGGGGAAGTCGATGAAGAAGCGCGAGCACATGTAGCGCTGCATCTGCTTCATCTGGCTCTCGGAGGCCGGGCGGAAGCCGCGCACGAGCAGGTGGCAGTACTTGAGCAGGCCGCCGCCCCGGATCTCCTCCGGGCTGCGGGTGGCGATAGTCTTTGAGCGGAGGTGGTCCAGGGCTTCCTCGAAGTCTCCGTACATGCTCTCCCCCTGGACCGTGGGGTGGAAGGTCTCAGACATGGCCGTCTCTGAGCAGCGGTCAAAGAACAGCAGCGAGTCCAGCGTGATCTGGAAGGAGTCCACGCTGAACTCGAACTGTCTTCTCAGGGAGTCCACGAACTTCAGTTCCACGTTTTTGCCGGTGTTGTTGGACAGCGAGATCAGGCTCCATCGGTCCGTGTCGTTGCAGACCTTCACCAGTTTTTGCACGTAGGCCTCTTTGAGGGCCAGGGCCGTGATCCGCTCCCTGCACACGCCTTCGGGCAAGAAGTCCACCAGGCAGTCCAGCACCACGTCCTTTACCAGACGGAAGGTTTTGTCGTCGGAGAGACTCAGGCCGAAGATTAGATCCAGATCTTTGTAGCCGAGGCCGTTGTCCTGGTGAAGCACGTGGCTGGCTGCGGAGCCGTTCAGCTTAACGTCACGCACAATCACGCCCTGTTCCTGGAGCCGAGCCCTGACCACCTGAAAGATTCAGAGACAAAGACAAGAAGCTGAGTTACGGGGACCCAAAACCAGATAAGCATCAGAAGAAGCAGATAGAGAAAGCAAGTATGCACATGCCGATCTTCTCTTACTGCCTCCAATAAAAAGAACCTGAGGGGCAAACGTTTAAACTTGATACATCTAGAGACTGAAGCTGGATGTTCATGACGTGGAAGGAATATAAAGTTTGTTTTATTGTTTCTCTACATGTCAAGATAGGTTTTATGTGAAACAAGCCTGTTGTGGAAATAGAATGTAAGATTTTTGTAGTCAGCAAATCCAGTGGCAGATTTCTTGAGGCAGGTAGGGGAAGCAGCTGCTCAGATACCTGCTATGCTCAAAATAATGTTATCATTAACAACACTGTGTTGCCGGAGGGTGACATTGCCTTACATACTGATTAGTAGACATCTTACAAGGCAAATGCCTGATGTAGCAGACTTAACTGATCATATGTGAGCTAAAAACGATTTCTGCACATAAACAAAAAGGTTCAGCTCCAATGCTTTCAATACTTATGAGTACAAACGGTAAATTAGTTTACTTTTTCTGAGATAAGGTATTGTGCAAAATGCTCGGACAATGACTTACATAATGTCTGGAAAAAGGGAAAGGGGTTCCATCAGTTGAATGAAACACAAGCAAACTCAAATGGAGAACACAAGAGATCTATTTTCAGTAAGCAGTCTTCAGGAATAGTTCTCCAGGCTTTTTGAGGGACATTCCAAAGTTCTTCTCTGGATGTTGTCAGATTATTCACTTGTGTTGACGTGCGGGGACGATTCATCCAACCATAAGACATGTAACCAGTTTTTGTCAATACAGATCTTGTCTCATTTAGCACACTTCACCCTTTTCTTTCCGCATTCCTCCCTGAACAATGGCGTCTCGACAGCCACCCTTCTATGGAAACAATTTTGAATGTGTCTTCTCATGAATCTGGTCTTGAATATTAAAAATAAGTTAAAAAGCAGCAAATGTCCAAAATAAATTGACAAAAAATGTATAACCATAGCTCTAGAGTCTAGACTATTCTAAGAATTCCATGAAAAACTGCTTTCGAAACAAAATACGAACAGTTTAAAACGGTTGAAACTGTTACACAACATGACATAAACACTTCTTGGCGGGGAGTGGAAGTTATCTGGTGTTTCTAACACCCACCACACATGCACGGCTGTAACCCTTGGGGAAATTGTTGTGCTAAAGACAGCTGAGATGCTCATGTTTCCTGTCTGTTGCACCACTCCAAAGGCACAAAAGGGGAAAAAAACAATTAATGAGGCCAGTTCTGAAGAAATTCAAAACACAGCTGTGCATTTCAATCCTTTAACTGAGCCTTGGGAACCAGTGTCCAGTTATCAATAAACCACGCCACTTCGCAACTAAGGTTCTCCATAAACCTTTGAAAATTGCCAGGTAAAAGCAAGTTGTATAAAGAAAAAAGTTTCAAGTTGCCTCAGTTTTCCTAATTTATTAACTTTCCCTTTTTTGTCACACTTTTGAGGCAAGAATTGGCTTCATATCATGAAAACAACTGTGAGCTGAATGGTTGTGTGGTAGTGCCCCCCCCCCCCCCCCCCCCCACCTCACAGCTGGTTAGCAGCAAGTGCATTCTATGTGACAATAACTGCATTCCATTGCTACATTGTATACACAAACATACACCAATATAATGAATAAATACTACTAAAAAATGAATGGCAAATGTTCTTTGACAGCCACAAGGTCCACAAATCTTTTTTTCTCAAGCTTCCACATTGGCTCCCACAGTACCTCCTATATAAAGCATATTATCTTATATAGCATCTTATACACATATTGTTTCACATATTGTTTCTTTATACACATATTGTTTCTTATGTATATATCTAGCTTTATTTATGAGGATTTTTGTATATATATATGTATATATGTATAGACATGTACATATGTATATGCCTTTGTTTTATTTTTCTTATGGAGCCTGTAACAAAAATAATTTCCCTCTGGGATTATTAAAGTATTTCTGATTCTGAACTAACACCTGTTTTTTTTTTTATTCTTAAGTAACTGAGCACAAAAATAAGTCAGCTAGTTGCTAAATATTATTGTGATTGTCTTTATCATTTGCTGTAATGCAACTTGAGTGGCTAACTTTTAACAGAAATATCTTTTATTGGACTGTCACATTTCAAATGTCAAATTATGCAGTTTTTTACACTATTTTAATCTTGAACTTTTAAAGGGGGAAAACACAAAATAAATCCTCAAATTAGCATGACCTCCATGTCCGCTATTTCCACACAAGGAAACATATGAAACCACTAGTTATTCTGTCCCCAAAGCAAAAGGGTACGAAAATGTCTGAATCTCACATTAAGTTTATTGTCGTTCCGTCCACAAAAAAAATAAAAGTAGAATAAGCGTCTTTGTTCTCACCAACTCTGACTACCGGTGGCTGGATGGAAGATGACTATGTTCAGATTTTCCAGTCATTGCCAGGATGACTGTTTGGGCATAAAGGAAATTTGATGTGATGCACTACTGTTAATACTTTATGGTTTCCTTTAAACAAAAAGGTTCTATGTTATCTGATTTTAATTCTGATATTTCACCACAGAAAAAAAGAGAAAGATTTCACACATTATAAAATAGGGAGCGATTTAATCTCCCTAAAGTTTAAGTATATGAGACTAAAAAGCAAGCTGTTTATATTGCGCTATTTTAATACGGCTTATCTAACCCTCTTATTACTCTAATGAGAAAGCTATTCAGAGTCTAATTTCACATGGTTTTATTTAGCACTGGACAACACTAGAGAACAGTATCCATCAAGGGAAACCCACGGCAGTATTTACTCTGCCCTTACGTTTAAAACACTTGGTCTGAGTCAACAGGATAGGGGAGTATGAGGAAGCACACCCCCATACTTCAGCTCTCATAAAACACCTTCGTGCATTTCCCATATGATGCACCAACACCTGGTAGGCCCAGCGAGGGGAGACACTTCCGCCAACGCTGGAGCAGAGAAGCCTTGTAAAAAAAAAAAGAACCGCAAACACACCAGACTGTCTAGTGCTGACAACGCCTTGGCGACACATAATGCTCCCTCCACTTCACACCGGCAGTCTCAATAGATTCCTCGAGTGTTTCCTTTGAACCGCGGCCTGAGTGCGTTTTTATTACGGCAGCTTGAAATTGCCCAGCCGTTTACCCAGTCCGTGGTCCCCCGGATATCTGGGCAGTGAGTCAGACCGTGTCTCTGCCAAGCAAATGGCAGCGGCAAGTGAAGAGTTGCAAGTCTCTGACCTTCGTAGTCAATCAAAAGCTAATCCAGCCTGTGGGTTGCACGGTAGCTTGGCATACTGTGGGGGTTTGATGATGGATTTTCCCCTGACTTGAAAAGCTTTCCTGAATTTCCTTTGCATGGGTGGTCATTTCACCTGTGTGCGTGTGTAAAACCAGAGCAAGTCCCAGGCTGTAATGTGATGCTATCCTTCCTCTGGACTATATGTGTTTTCAGGGAAGGATTTATTCAGCTGCTTTAATGATTCACAGCATTTCTCGGCCCACTCTGACTTTATGTGATGTGTTTATTTCCTTGGAACTCATTTTAGGGACATTATGTTATATTACATAGTCAGGGCCAGCAAGAACAACTCCAACAACTCTTTTTCACTCCCAACTCATCCCACTCAGATGTCTGGCCAGCAATCGGCTGTCTGATTTTCTAACGGATGGTTAATCCCTGTGTGTGCCTATCGGATTTGCAAAGCTTTCTGAACTGGTAATGAAAAAAAAAAAGTACAAAATGTCTGAATGATGTTTCTTCAACAAGGGATAAACCGGAATGTGCTTTAGTTCTCTTTGCATCGGAAGAGAAAGTGAAAGGGTATGCTATATGCAAAAGTGTGTGACGAATAAGAACAATTACATGCCTTGTTGGTGTTTGGCATGAAGTTACAAATGAGAGGATCCACATAACCCTTCAGAGTAGAAGCAGAAGTTGTCTTAGTGGTGTAACAAAAAATGGCCAAAATACCTGAGCCTGGGTAGAATTAACCCCATGTGTTTCAAAGAAAAGCTCTAAAGAAAAAGAACATCCCCTCTTCAAAAGAAGTCTTCGTGTTGCTCTAATATGGCGTCAAACTTGACCCACAGGTCCGTTGTTATGACAGCCAGTGGTCCATTCCTCTGCTTCAAATCCAGGCTGAGCTGCCTTCCATTAAATTGGAAGACCGAATAGAAAAAAAAAAGTAGAACTCCCTCCACCCTCATGGCTATGACACACTCAGATATCTGCGTTTGTCATTATGCGGGGTGTTGCTACGCGGAGGTTCGGTAGGTGTTGCGTGTCGGGGGGGAACATGGGTCGCCACCGCGGGTTCCTGTTGTGGTTTGATGACGGCTCACGTAAAAAACGAGTCCCAGAGAGCGGAGGTGTTGTTAACGGGTAGACGTTTTCGCTTCCTCGCTTTCCCATGGCCCTCGCACGACCAGACCACAAACAGATGTTATTCAAATGTGGCCCCTCAAACAAAAATCCGCAGCTGAGGGGAGCTGCTGGGACACCGCGGGAGTCTGACCGGACCACCACACCGCCCCGGAAACGATGGGAGGACCTGCCTCGAGCTCGCCCCCTCCTGTGTCAGATGGATGGTTTCGTCTGAAGTTCAGCTCTAAGATAATTGACATTCAAGGAACAGACTGGCGGAGCCAAATGTTTAAGTAAATTTACCATAAATCACCCACGCCTCACATTACTGTCATCCATTTTCCAAAACATACCATGGTGGTTAAGATGTCTGAAAGGGTTTTTTCCTCACAGTGATTTCCATTTCTGTGCATATGGTAAGAAAATTAACTTGCATATATTGCAGATATGACTACTGTAGATGACATTTTCCTGTAGAGGAACGTGGAAACCAACTTTATTTTCCTCATTATAAGGTCACTACAACATGATGACACTCAACAGGCATTCTAATCAATCTTTACTTTGAAGGGACTGGAAAAAAAATACCGAAATATAATTTTTTCGGTCAAATTAAAACAGCATGACCGCTCATTAGTCTGATACAATGCCATCATTAGGAAAATTAAACACCAGATTTGGCTTTGCTTGTGGCTCCAATAAAGATAAGGACACATGATCCTTCTAGTCAGGGCTGGTTAATGTATTTTTGAGCTGGTAGGTTAAGTGTTGTGGAGGAAAATATCTTATCAGGCCCATGGAATCCACATTTAAAACTTTTTGATAGCGCTTATATCGAAGCAGGTAACTGTGTACACTGTGTACACTGATAAAATCTATTTATTTCTGGGTCAGCGTATGCTGCTCTTGGTTAGCAATAGCAAATTCAAAATTTCTATGTGAAAAACACCAACAAATGGAGTGCAAACTCCCTTATAAACCTAGCAGGTACAATAGAAGCATCAACTATAGTAACTGACCAAAACTTTTGATGTGTAACCCATTTTCTATCTTGCCTCACTCTGCTAGCTAAATTTTTCTTTTTAGCCTAATGAACTTCAACAATCAAGTTTTTAATGGGCCGTTGGTTCCATTTGTGATAAATGTCCCTAGAAATATTTTTCATGTGATCTATTGAGAGACAAAAATAGGATTATATGGACAGAACAGAGACAAAACTTGATATTATTATGAGTTGAGAGAGAGTGGATCTGTCTGCTATCACTGAAAAGAGGAATTCCATCAATGCATAGGTCCGCTTTGCAATCTACTCGACTTTTCTTTCAGCTTTGTTGTTTCACATTACAAGAGTTTGTAATATCAAGATGGCTCGGGAGTCCAGTGGCGTAATTTTACGTAAAATAAACTAAACGGAAGAGTGAACACCACTGAGCACCAATAAGCACCACAGAGGAAACCTAGTTGTTGGACCACTGGACCGGTTTCAGTATAGCCATTTACACCTTTGATGATGACGAAAATATGAAATTGCATATCGTTAGTTGCTACGTTTAAAAAAACTGGCGTCGCTTTCATGACTCCTCCAATGAAGTCACTTCCTGGTCAGTCAGTGGCCTTTCAGTCTGTACTCCAAACCAGCTTGGAGACCTGGCTGAGGACCTACTAAGATTGGAACTTGTACCAGGCACTACTACTGAGTGGAAAAGCAAAAAAGGTCAAATAACGCAGAGTAATTACTAGCTAAGAGGGCCATTAGTGCGCTAATAATTGTTGCTTTCAAAATAATATACCAGCCATTTTTGAGCTAGGGAGTAATGGCCTCTTGTGTTGGCTGTTGGAACTGGTCTTTGATAGTTTTTTCTTTGTCAGGCAGGAAAAGATCCAGCAGGGTTTGTTTTTCTTTCCACTGTGGCTAGCTACCACATCAGTTAGGTTTCCAACAATATGCTAAATAGTGAGATAATAACTGTTTTTAAGAGTCAATGGTCAACTTTCTGTCATCTCAACTCTAGCCTAAATCAACAATCAGGATACTGTAAAGGACAAAGGTGAACTGGATTAATGACAAAGGTGAGCAAATTCTTGTAAGGCAAAGATCCAATGTCAACATGTTATCTATATTGTGTTGTTTTCAAGGAAAAGTAATTCAGAATTTAAATTAACAATTGATTAATTTCCCAATTCTTTTGTGATTAAAAGTCTGCAAGACAGACAGATTTTAAGCACTTTAAATAAATAAAAAATCCAAAACAGTTGCCTTGAATCTGAATGGGTTTGTTTAAAAACAGTTTTTACCAGATAACCCGATTTGCAAAGACAAATTCAACTACGCTACCAAAAAGTTAATGTTTTTACTCTGGGTAAGACCGTGTCTGGTATTAAAGTTAAAACGCTGTGTTGTGATCCCAAAGGGAAATGATATAATAGGTCTGCTACTGCGGAAGACTTGTGGAAAGCAGTTGGAGGAGAATTTTCCAATAGCTGGTCTGTGAAAGGTCCATAAAAAATGCTCTGGCTCATGGAAAGAAAAATGTTTGGGGTCCCTGTTGCCTGCAGGATTGTATAATGAAGGGAAGATATTAGCAGGGGGACGTTCAGAGCAGATGGTGGGGGGCCCCTTGATGATAGAGGCCCTTAAAACCTGCTTGGGTTTTGTGTGTGTGTGTGTGTGTGTGGGTACCTGGATGTGTGTATGTGTGTGCGCCTGTGTGTGTGTATGTGTGTGTGTGTGTGGGTTTCCCTACTTTGTCACCACAGAAAATATGACTCACTGAAGTGAAATACGAGCTTGCTTTAAAGGTATTTCACTAACGTCCAGTAAAGCCAGTGCCCCGGTCATTCCCCATACATTTCAGCCCCTGTAAAAAAAGCTACTTCATGATATTTGAAGACTTCTGGAAAAGAAAAAAGAAGCAAGGAGCAGAAAAATTGGTGAGCTACTGGAAAAGTCCAGTCATGGGGTTAGATCATCCTCACAACGCAACTCTGAAAGAGTGTAAATGATTAAATATTTGTTTCAATGTGGTGACCAATAAAAAAAAAATTTAAAGTAAATGCGCCATTTTGGAAAATAAGCAGCGGTGTGGTGAAATCAACAGCAACAAGTGTTATTTTTGTTAAATATTTCATCAGAAAACAATCTAAATGAAGCAATATGTCTGCAGGCTATAGTGTGTAATGCATCCCAGATGCACACGAAAAGGAAACCTAATAGAAACAAGTAAACTTTACGCAAAAATGGATCATTTTGGAGTGGTACCGGTGCGCCACGGACGCTTCGGTGCGCGCATTTTAGAGCCCTGTGCCTCATCAGTGCGCGCTGCGCGCCTGGTTAAGCTGCGTTTCTCACCTGAACGATCTGCCGGGGCTGCACGGACAGCGTGGGGAAGTTGCCGCGGCCGTGGATCGGGACGCTCTCCCCCAGAATGGAGTCCAACCGCCGCACCTGATCCCAAGACAGCAAGCTGACCCGCCGACTCTGCTCCGGGGCATCTCCCGACATGACGACCGGAGGACCGAGCTGTGGAGTGGAGACGGACTGCTGCGCGTTGCTACTCCTTCTCGGAGAGTTTGTTTGCTGGGGAAAGGGGGGGAGGTGGGTGGGTGGGTGGGTGGGAAGCTGGTACTTCTCTCCTCCACTTGGGGAAAAGGGCTCAGAAAGATCCAAAACGCGTTACAGTGTCGGGAAAGTTTGGCACAACAACGGGCATCTCCTGGAACCGGCAGCTCTCGCGCGCCGGGCTTGTCCGCGTGCACTCGCTCCCTCCTCAGATTAGAGACCTCTCCGGACCCACGGAGGCTTTTTTACCCAGCTGGGATTAACATGAGCCTCCTCATTGGTTGGACGCAGATTTATGAACGCTTCCACATACAGAGGAGTGCAGTTCATTTGCACGCACACACCTACTTCCAGTGCGTCAGAGGGTTTTGAAAGACTGTTGGTAATGTGATAGTTGCTATATACCCACGTTTATTTTTATTTAAAAAGTGAATCTGGTAGCACCTCTGGTAGTATTTACCCAGCCACCCGTGGTTTTTATCTCTATTTTACTGGAAAATTGGGACATATGTGTATCCAACTGAAACACGTGCAGACAAATGATAAGAGATAACGTTTAATGAACATTAAAGTCAATATTGGGGCACCTTTATTCTTTCTGGTCTTTTTTTCCTTCTTTTTTTCCTTCTTATTTCTTAAAGAATGGACCAAAGCTGTTCCTAGAATGCTGTCTGGGACAGATGAGGTGTTGTGGGCATCTGATATGGACAGCTCCTGGTCGCCACCTTTTGGATATTTTCAGTGGGAATCAAATTGGGAGGGCACCCCAGGATTCACTGGAAAGACTTGATATGTTCTTTGTTTTGGAGACATCCCAGAATTCTCAATAGGATCTTAAGGGTGTCGGAAAGAGGAAAGTTTGGATTTGTCCCCATGATCTTTTGCATCCACTGCATGATCTTGGAGATTGGAAAAAAGATCAATGGATCATCACTGCCTTTTGTACCGTTCTCAGTAAAGACCAACACACTTCTGAGACCTGTTGCTACTTTATTTTCTACTCTTGTGAAGTTTGGAATAGCTTAGCTTGTGTTTCCCCCCTGTGTCAGCCACCCTTCCACGGGGACATTTATGACTCTTCTTCCAACAGAAGATCTGCTTTTTACTGCTCTGCTCAAAGGAACATTATGTAACTCGTTCAAAAAGGTCATGACTTCACTCCTGTAAGCTGTTGCTTGACAAATATTTAAAAACACCTTTTGTGACGATTGTGACATGGGGTCATTTGTCATGATATGATGCATTGTTGTCCTGCCTCATTGTTCTGCTGTCATCAAAAGTTTGTTTTACTTAAACCTTTCGTTAAGATTGTTTAATCTGTTAAAGCGATGGCACTCAATCATTGGGTCACTTGTTATTTTTGCTCCCTTTCAGATGTGCTGCTGATGCTTTTCACTGCTGAGCGATGCCTGTCTGAAAGGGGCTTTATGTAAATGACTTTTTCAGGGAAACAATCGGAAAACCACATCATCATTTTGCCCTCTCATTCTCAAAGTAACCACCGTGAAAGTTCCTGTTATGGGCCTCTGTTACTGAAACCCATCCGGCTCACATCATTACATGATTGATGTTGTCCTCGTGAGTGTGAAGAATTCTGTGAATGGGCAGCTGTTTAGCAGCGCTCTCATGCAACCAAATAGCATTCTGTTTTCTAGCCCTGGTTAGCCAGCCACACCTTGGAGCAATCCATGAAAAGGTCATCCATTCTATTATGTATCGCTTTCAAACAGGACATTATCTCATGGGTTGCCTAGAGCTTGCTGTCAGGATTTTAATTTTAGTTTAGCCAGAATTTCGACCACAAAAGAGATCGGGGGAATATCCGTTTCAACCATTCCTTTGTGTAAATGGACCATGTATGTGTGACAGGATATTCATACACTTTACAGCTAAAAACACTCCGAAAAGGCAAGGCTTTGCAAAATCAAAAGCTTGAAAAGGGAAGAAAGTTAAGTCATTGTAGATAACACAATAGAAGGTGAACTGGTTGTGTTTTGTATCTCCATTTCGTAACAATAATGTGCATGCCTAAAGACAGAGGCCAGTCATACTTATATAACCCCATAGGGTCCGTTCTGCCTCCTCTGTAGCTCAGTGACTTGCCTCTCTGGCAGGAATGAGTATGTTAATGTCTCAAACATACATAAATAGAGACATAAAGACATGCATAACTTCAATAGAATTCTTTGTTGACAGGTGAAAGTTACTTTTCAAACTAGCCTTTAGTTGAATGTGATTATTACAGTTTGTAGGAGATCTTATGGAACATCAGTTTGCTCAACAACGATAATAAATCAACCACCGTGCTGTTGATCATAATTTACCCTTAAAAATAACTGTAATGCAGAGTTTTAATGATTAATTCTCATTCTCAGGGTTCAAATTTTAATATTGCAGCAGTGGCATGACGTGTCTTTGTTATGACGACGTTTTTGATTAAGTGGTGCAGACAAAAAAACAGCAACCCATTCCTTCAAGCTGAACATGCCTCCTAGTTACATCATTACCATTCATGTAACAGTCATCTGTGACATTGTTGCTCAATGTACTCACTGCTTCTTACATGCAAATCCTCTCTTAGATAAAATCTGTTTGAGTTAGTATGGGAATCATATAGAAACCTTTATGATATGACTACAATAGCAAATACAACACCTGCCATGGAAAATGTGATTAATTTTTTATATATTGAGCAAAAAAGATAAATAATTATTTCTCTGCATTATCTTTGACTGCATTTGTGCTTTATAATGGTAACATACATTGTTTCAGTTTTCTACTGCCCAACTTTATTGTGTAATGTTGCTTTTCTTCATTGCAATGGTGTTTTTGGTAAACAACAGTAGCTAGCTAGTGAAAACAGACCGCTTTAGCAGCTAGCTACTTATAAAAGTGGAACAGTTTAAAGGTGTGCCCGCTCTACACAAATAGCTGTCGACGTTATGTGATTACATACAAAGTCAATCAATAAAGTGTCTGTTTGCTTTTGCATGCAAACACACAACCTTCAACCAATGCCAGTATGTTATTAACGTTAGCTTTCTCTATCAGTTAGCCTGGGTAGTATGAGGGCAAACATAACCATGTTGAAGATGAAGACACAAGTTTATTGTATTGTCTGTTTAACTCCTAACTAAAGGATTTTTGTTTTTCTTTTAACTTCATTTGTGGGGTTTTTGTGGCTAATTTGGGGAAAAATTTTTATTTTCAATGCCAAAATATATCCAGTACATCAAGCATAAGTTTATATAATAAGGAAATACAACAAGTTAATAATTTATTTAAAAGTAGATATTAGTAATATAGTTATGCTCTCAGTGGTTTTCTCAGGAATAAAAATCTGAGAAATATTCTAGGTGAAGGCCATTCTGTGTTATATTAGACACTCAGCAAATTCGTTTTTTTTTTCTCAAGCTTTTAGGTCACAATTACATTTGATTTTTTTTTTTTTACATTGAAGATCTATATTCTGGCCTTAAATATCTAGAACAACATTGCGCGGCAGTTGCCCGAAAAGCATTTTTATGTTGCTTCAGTCTCAGACATCTTCAAGGTAAGAATTTGTGAAAGGAGAAGTATTTTTTTAGAGATAGATTTATGCAAATTTCTGAATGTTGACCTTTCTTGAATAGGTTGTCCCTTCAGTACAAGTTACCATTGGATGATTCTGTTATACTAATGATCTTCATAGCACACTCTTTTGGTGAGCTTTTAGCAGCTTTTCACCATTTGTGAAAGTAATGCCTCTAAAAAGGAGAGTTTGCATAGCCAACATGTTAAATTATGGATTGCACTTGATCTGCAGGATAATTGTGTGTTACATTTTACTTCTGGCACTGAACTGTTTGAATCCAGGCAGATGTGGGTTTGCAAAATTCAACCTATGCAGTGTTTATTCCTTGCAAACAGAAACTATGCAGGACAGATGTTAAGATGTAACAAAATTATATCTGATCACAAGTGTTATCAAGTGATACATGCCAAGCTGCATGAAAATGCAATGTGTGAACTGATAGTTATAACAGTTATAAAATGGACAAGAGATCAGTGTATGTCTGACATAAAGGAAAACTCCTCAAAATACTTTATTGATCTCACAGTGTGGAAATTTACACATTACAGCCGGGAAAAAAGGGGAAAGCACAAGCACAGTGGAGGCATAAATAAAGGTTATTTACATTGCAACAAAAATAAATAAACGTAATTTACAAGAGAGAGTTATTAATATATAATCATATGATTATTACAATGAAATATTACAATGAACACCAATTTTTCAATTGACTACTGAGGCTGACATCATGGATCAGGCAGTACAGGTGTTATATATCCAAACAGCAGTAGGAAAGAAGGACATCCGGTATCTCTAATTTTTACACCATGTGTGTAACAGCCTGCTGCTAAAGGAACTGCTCAGTGATCCCACAATGTCATGTAGGGGATGAGAGGTGTTGTCCATGATGGATGTCAGCTTAGCCAACATCATTCTCTCCCCCACTACTCCTACTGAGTCCAGCGGACAGTCCAGGATAGAGCTGGCTCTCCTAATCAGTCTATAGAACCTGCTCCTGTCCCTGTCCGTGCCACCCCCTGCCCAGCAGACCACATCATAAAAAATTACTGAGGCCACCACAGAGTCATATTTAGTCTTTAGAAGACTCCTACACACTCCGAATGACCTCAGTGTCCTCAGCAGGGTGGAGGTGACACTGGCCCTTTTTGTATATGGTGTCAGTGTTTACAATCCAGTCCAGTTTTTTGTTCAGGTGAACACCCAGGAATCTGTAGTCGTCCTCTATCTCTATGTTTGATCCCTGAATGTTCACCGGGATAAAGTCGGGTATCTTCTTCCTGAAGTTGATTATCATCTCTTTTGTCTTGGTGGTGTTGAGCTGAGGATGGTTGCGCTCATGCCAGTTTACAGTCACTGATGACCGTCAGGTCATTCCCTTCAGAGACACAACCAACAATGAAGGTGTTGTCAGAGAACTTCTGGATGTGGCAGTTTGTGGTGTTGT